TATAAACCCTGCCATAACATGGTTCCATTTACTTTTCCTCCTGTCCTTTGTGCTACTGCTGTTTTTTATATATTGGTAAGTATGTGTATATGTGCGTTTTTCCTTAATACAGCATTATTTGTAGTTTGAAGAAAAAAATATATTTCTTTAAATAATAGCCACTAAGTGTACATTTAGCATTTCTGGTGATCTTTATTCCTTCCTGTTAATCCAGGTTACCATCTGGTTTAATTTTCCTTTTGCCTAAAGAACTTCCTTTGGCAATTCTTGTAGTATGGGTCTGGTAGTAATGCATTCTCTCAGCTTTTGTTTATCTGAAATTGTCTTTAATTTATCTTCATTTTTGAAAGGTGATAATTTTACTGGATATGGTGTTCTAGATAGACTTTTTTCCTTCATCTGTTTTTTGATCCATTCTTTTCTGTCATTCAGATTGTTTTCTGAAAGATAGTTTAGAGATTTTATAATTGTTATCTGTAGGAGGGTTAGTTCAACAAAACTCCACTGTCATTGCTGAAAGCTAGAACTCTTTAAATTCATTTTTAGAGTCCTTTTTATCTTGGCTCCCAATTTTCGTTTCTTTAACAAATGAATTTGTTTCATGTTAGATCTTTCCGTGTATCTGCCATGTTTGTATTATCACTTCCATCATTTTGAGTCAGGCTTTCTTGGGTTTCTCCAAATAATCTTTCAGTTTATTTTTCTTACTTTCTCTTAATTCCACAAATTGTACTGCCTACTACTTCTCTAGGCAAGCAGTCAGCAATCATTTATTGAGCCTCTATGTGAGACATTGATATGAGCATTTATCAAATTAAACTATTTTTATCACATCACTTATGCTTGATAAAATGGATTGCTTTCTAATTTTACCACATTTAAATCACATTTAAACTCATTGGCCTGGCTTTAAAAGTTCTCTGTAATAACCTGAGGGCTTACCTTCCCAATTTTATTTTCCATCTGCCTCTTAAGCAATTCTTTTGCTCCTGCTTTCTTTCAATATGCATTCCATTCATTTTAGTTTCTGATCTTTACAAGGGCTTGTCTTCACATTTGAAATGCTCTTCTTTTCTAACTGCATCTCATCAAAGTCCCATACCTAAAAATTGGACTATTAATGTACAGTCTCTGGTAATCTCTTGGCCCTGTAAATGCTAACATGAATTTAAAAGTTTTAAAAAAAAAATTATGCAGAACAGCTAATGCCAGCTTTATTTCATAAATAGTCGTGCGAGTTCCTTACCTCACCAAACAGATGATAAGTTTTCAAAGATAGGGG